CCTGCACCAGCTCTGGCTCTTTCCCCGCTAGCGAGGTGACGTTCCACATCCCTAGAGCTAGTCTATGCTGCCGGCGATTGGCTCGCCCAGGCCTCCCGCCTGACCCGCCGCCCGGTCTGCATTGCACCCGACCCCGATGCTTGTCCCTGCTGGTGGTGGGTCCACGGGTTGGCTGCTCCATGCTGTTTATTCGGGCTGAGCCTGACCAGGCCCCATGGGCGAAGGCCCGGCCACCAGACGCTCGCCGACGAGCTCCCCTCCTGGGTCTGGCTCCGGGAGGGTGCCCCGGTTTCCCTGGTCCGGGCGAGGTGGCTAAAGTCTGTGGGCTGCTCATCATTAGGGTCGTTTGAACCGCTCTTAGTCTGGGCTCTCCCCCGAGACCTGTTTGCCTTGAGAGACCCTACCAGGGGCTAATGCCCCGGACAACATATCTCCCAGGATCACTGAGCCACTCAAACTCCTCCTCCACGTTAAGGTGGCGATTCGCGGAGGAGCGATCAGTATGTATGTGTGTATTATTCATAATCAGAAATTTAATCAATTGAAGCAGTGAAAAGAAATAGTGTGATTCTCTCCATTCTTATCATGAGTCCACCTTAATCATTTTCTCCAATAATGATATGCTATGGTGTACTAATAACACTCATATAATTATGAGTGCTTTCAACCCCCATGTAGTTGCAACCCAAGAGGACATGGGAGCAAGTAAACACTAAGCCCAAACACATTATTCAGAATGGTGAGTCAACACAATATGTGGCATAGTAAAGTAATGAACACATCCATAAGTTTATTAAGCGCCAAATAAACTTCATGGACAGCACGGCATGCATATGTGGAAGAACTCTCTCCCTATCAAACGCTAATCTAACTAATATCGCTCCTTCATCAATGGGATCTCTGAGGAAGGGAGCTGTACATTAATGCAATAGAGGCTTCTCAGTTTGCTCAGCTGGTTTTAATGGATCACCGTGTGTCTCACTTTACATGCATTTCCGGAACTCCCGTATAACCCCCAGTATATGCGCAAGCGCATTAGACTACCGTATATGACAGGAGCTGCCATTTTTTCTGGGGGAGTGGCACGCTTATCCAGCTACCTTCAGTTAGAACTGCGCTGGAGCAGGTTCAAGCTTATGGATGTGTTGCCATGGTGATTTTGCCAAACTTGCTTCATGGAACCGAAAAGCCTGATCTATGTAATCTTATCCTGAAAATTATCCGGCTAACTCAGTTAACCCAATACAATCCAGTCACAGTCAACACCAACAAACCTCTCTCTGAGTAGCCAACTGTACCTAAATAATCAACTAGAACTGTACACTCATTTTACCCCACATTTCTGGTTTTAGGTCGAGAACCTATTGAAATTCAAATGTTTATTAAGGCCCGAGCACCCGGGGTAGAACCCTGTTGAGTATGTACAGTTTTTTAATTAGAATAATTTGTTGTTTGCCACGCTGACTCAAATTCCCATGTGCTGGAATGAGCTAGAAACATGAAACTGGAAAACATGTGCTTAAAAAAAAAGTATTACTCCAATTGGCCACATGGTGGTGGTGTTAACACCCATAAATAGGTAGGTAGATAGACAGAGATAGATAGTTACTTTATTAATCCCGCAAGGGGAATCTTTTCGCTAGAGCAACATTTATGGTACAGGTAAAGCAATAAAAATAGCAGAGTAAAGAATATTAAATATAAAAATGTAAATAAAAAAAAATGCAATTGGCCATATATATACAATAAAAACAGTAAAAATAAGAAATATAAAAATGCACAATATATACAATGAAATAGAATAATATTAAAATTAACTAACGAAACAATTTAACCTTAATGATTTAACCAAATAAACAAATAAATGTGATTTTTAGAAGATCACGACCCTTATACCTTAAGTCTTATTGACTTAAAATTTGACACACATGTCCACCTCAATCTGCTCTACAAAAAATCTCTTCAGTAATATAATTCCAACTTCAATTTTCCGCAATTATCGTATTCTGGCCTTTCTTTGCTTAATATTTGTGTTACAAGACTGAACTCAGATTATACATTTTCAAACAGTTTTGAATGTACGAACAATTTGAAACTGACATGAGACAGTTCACTTAATTATTTCCCATTTTTAGTAAAAGTTAACAGATCCTTCTCATTTTGTAATGAATCATAGCTATAGAATGTAATTCCTAAAAAATATGATCCTTATTTATGCCAAACAATTTGAATTGATGTTATTTACAGTGCACCTGCAGAGGACAAAAACAAATTGCTTGGTTTCAGGTGGATAACTCTTAAGTCTTTCCTTGTCAAGTGTGAGGATCCAAGGACAGAGGACATTGTGTTGTACAGATTGTAAATCACTCTGAGGAAAATTTGTGATTTGTGTAATTGGGCTATATAAAGAAAATTGAATTGAAGTTCTCTTTTTGATATTGTTAAAACAGAAAGACGGTAATGACACACAAAAGACAGTTTATTATGAAGTTATAGGAAATCAAAATAAAGGTGTATTACAGAGTTTTCAGCATACAAGACAAACATACCAACAAAAAACTAAATAGAAATATAAAAAAATAGAAGAAAAATCTTATTAAAAATACCTTCCCTGATCGTAATTACCCTCCCAGCTCAATTTAAAAGTTTTCACATTCAACACAATTGAGGGAGCGTAAATTTAAAGTTAGGGTCCTTTGATAACCGTTCTCAGACCGACTGGAAACATGTCTCTCAGTGGCCAAGGAGTATTACAACAGAAAAATTAATTAATTTCACTGATGGTCTTCAGTCTAGAATGTTCATGGAAATAGTATAAAAGAATGCTGTGCCAATATGCAAATGCTTACAATGGCCGCCAGCTATCTAAATAACAATGTCAATATCATTTCCATTCACATTTATTTTGCTGTAGAGTGGAGCTCCACTGGAATGGGCATTATGACAGTAGTTTAAACATTTGGCCCCTTTTCTGGTCACAATATGGACATTCAGGAATGAAGTGGGAGGAGAATTCAGTAGAGAGATACCAATTTATGGAATCCACTAAGTGTGCACTTACCTCAGAGTCTCTATTGTCTGTCACTAATTAGGTCATGTTTAATGGAATTTTGTTTCTAATCAATGGAACTTTTGTTTCCCGTTACCCATCCACTACATACAGTACAGTGATGGCATAGTCCTGGGCACGCTCAATAGAGAACCACCAGGAAAACACCACGAAAGATTTGTATTAGGGTTCATCATTTTTTATATTTCAAGACAAAAGTAATGTTTCTTTTGAATATTTAGAAAATTGGAGAAATCAGTACCAAATATAAACCATGCACAAGTCAACATTATTGCTACCAGTGGTTGTTTCAGGAGGAAATAATCCAAAGTTTTTAATTTTGTCAGATCTCTGTGAAAGGCGGTTAAAATGAAAAAAAAAAAAATTGTTGATACAATACACTAAGAAAAACATATGATAGATCTGACAGAAGCCAACTGACCACCCTTCACATTCCACAAGGAATGTTTGAACCCTAACCAAACCCTGAAATCTTCAAATGTCCTCCCAGTGCACTGATGAATTTGCAAAACCCAACTATGAATTCAACAACACAAAATTAACTTGGACAGTGCAGTATTTTTTATACTGTAATGAAATATTTGATTATTGATTAAGAGCATTTCAGTCACAATGGGCCTCATTCACTAGTATGTACTGTATGTAAAAAGTTACTTACTTTGCACACAAAATACAGCACAAAATATGCCTGTTTGCTGAAATGAGCCCATCTAGCTTTGGAAGCCATCAACTAGTTAAGGCTAACAAGTTAGGCTAACACACTGGGCGATCTGCTAATGAGTGCCAGCAGGTCTACGTTAACCCTGTGTTCTTGTGCTTGGAAGCCCACCTTTACAGCAGAAATAAACAGCCTGGTGCAAAATATGGTTGTGTTACTATGGCTAGTAATAGTATAATAATTCATAACAACTGTACAAGGGTGGATTCTTATACAACTCGTACATTAAAATTAAATTATGGCTTAAAGTTATGCATAATTTAGGTCATGGCTGCTTTGATTGACAGGTGGTTGCCGTCACAGCTGCTAGCCGTCAGCTTGGTGTCACCTCAGCAAATGCCAGTCACAGAACTTAACCTTGTGGCAGTGTTTGTGGAGTCCCTTTTGGGATTTTGTTTAATGCAAATACCGGGCAAATAACAGCTGGTCATCCTGCTGGCCAACATGCTGATGCTGGATGACCTCTGTGCCCACATGATTTTTTAACAGGATATCAGAAAATGTATTGACCGTGAAACGTAGACCTGCTAGCACATCGCCCAACTTGTTAGCCAGGTTAGCCTTAGCTAGTTGGAAGCTTCCAAGCTAGATGGGCTTGTTTCAGCAACCAGGCGTCATCCAGCCCACCCCGGCACACATTTTTTGGATTAGCGTATGTCGTCCTTACCAAGATGGCAACTGCCATACAAAAAAAAAATGCTGTCACACTTGCCCTGTAAGTGAGCCATACTGAAAAAGTAATTATTCCACCAAAACATCGAAGAAGTACTATGAGGAAGCATTTGAGATTCAGCATCAGAGAAGGAATAATTGTGGATAAAATTGAGGCTGTTTTTTCACTTATAAACAATGCAAAATTACATTTTATTATCTATTATCGTCTATTATCCATCTCTAGATCTAATACTGTAGTAATGTCTAAATTACTTAAGATTTGCAAAGACAGGAAGAACATGTGGAATTACATGTTTTTTTCAATTTAATGTTTTAAACATGTTTTTGCCAAAACAAAACAAGTAAAAGTCTTCTCCTTTTGATTTATCCGATTTTGACAGTTTCAAAATTTCCGATGGCTCATGTGGTCGGTGCAAAGTCACTACATCCCCAGATCTCAGTACGGAAGTAGCTAAATAAAATGTTAGCAGATTTGAGAGGAGTAATGGCTGAAACCAGAAATTTAAAAAACGAACAAATAAACGTTTGTGCTTCAGAGGGCTCATACAAATCATGGTGCTTAAGAATGACCAGCTCCACAACCAATACCAAACACCAAAATCTACTCAATACCCACTCAACCCGATGGTACAAAAATCCAAAGTTGACAGTAAAAATGTAGAGCTCAGCTATTTGTTTAAATTTTGTGTGAAAGATGGCTTGCATGTCTGCAAAGTGTCACATTGGATTTACTGAGTTCTGGAATGAGTTAAGTCAAATTAAGCTCAAACAAGCCGACATACACAGTAGCCAAGGCAGTGGAACAAGTGCACTCATCACTAGTCTACATAAACACGAAGAAGTCGACACATTTTAGCTACAGTTTACAGATTTAGGTGCCAAACACAACCGGCTCTTGCTGTTCAGACTGAAAACCATCCACACTAAGTGGCTGTGTTGGTGTGTGCATATGTAGGATTTACTTATCTTGTATTGTTAATGTTTGAGAATGTTACTGAGCTACCAAGCTAAATTAATGGACAATTCTAGGCAGATGAATCTATAAGCAGCACTGATTTTTCATAATGTACCTAGTCCGTTGTACGTAGACTAGTGACCAGCATTTGTGGGACTTTGAGCCTCTGTTCAACTCGGGACTACCACCGTCTGCCATACATGGAACATTCAAACACACAGATTTACAGACTGACAGCATTGGAGCAGCACAGAGTGACAGGTCCTGGGAGGAGTGAGGGGCGCTCACTTGAAGGCTGACTGCAGTTCTTTGAAAGCAGTGCGTCTCTGTTTCTGCTCCTCAACCTGCTTCTTCTTGGCCTCCTGCTCCTGGCGGATCTCTGCCTCAAAACGGTTTGACTCATTGATGGCCTGGACCTGTCCAACAGTAAGACACACAGCTTTCAGGAGATTGAATCGGAATCATAAACTGTTTATTACAATAAACATGTAAAGATATAATTAGATAAATTATGAAAAGCAAAAAAATATATATGACAATATGTTGAAATATGTCTTATGTCTCTTATTAAAATGTCTCCATTTAAAGCCAAAAGTTGTGCAGGGTTGTGTAAATTGTTGATGAGCTTGATTGCAGTCGGGCAAATGTTTTTGTAGTGCGAGGTCTTGGTCCTGATGGACTGCAGCCTCCTGCCAGAGGGAAGGGACTCAAACTGTTTATGTCCAAGGTGAGAGGAGCTGGCCACAATCTTTCTTGCCCGCCTCAGGGTCCTGGAGGATTGCAACCAATTATCTTCTCAGCAGAGCAAATAATACTCTGCAGCGTAACAGATGATGACGGAGGATTTGAATATAGCCTAATATCACTAACCACAAATTTGCCTCAGAGGGCTTTACAATCCTCTGTCCCAGGACCCTCACTTTGGAACAGGAAAATCTCCCCAAAAACCCCTTTAGTGGGGAAGAAAACTCCAGCAGAGCAACAGAGGAGGGATCCCTCTCGCAGGATGGAGAAAAGTGCAATAGATGTCATGTGTACAGAATGAACATCATAATAGAATTACAACATCCATATGATATAAATTATACATATAATGAGAGCAATAGTAATAGCAGTAGTAACACTTATAATAAAAGAAAAAATGAAAGCTGCAAGCAGCATTGATCGGGCCCTCGCAACTTCAAGCACGTCGAGGGTACTGGCATCTCTCTGGTTGACGCGGCCATACATTTCTGTGACCATCATATACTGCGTGCACAAGTCAGATGATATTTCCTGTGTCGACCAGCAGCATAGCAAGATCATGTTGCCAGGTCTTAAGCTTCAAATGTTTTGAGTGTACCTCCGATACAATCATAAATGTAAGCCTGTTAAGATCATTAAGAAAATGAATGTGTGTGACTGCGCTTCAGTGTTTGTAACATAACAGACTCTCAGTTTACTGGGATGGGGTTCAACTCCCTGCAGTGTCCTGCTGATTATATTTGGACCTACATGAAAGTTAACAGAACAGTAGTGCCATTTGCTGTTACTTGAACACTTTAATTTAACACCGTTTTCATTTTAAGTTCTTCTGTAACTTTAGACTGTAGTGTGAAGCATTCATTGTAACATTTAACCTGATTGTCATGAAGAAGCTCTGGACAGATCATTTATACTAATGCCCACTGACATGGTTTGAGAACCATTGTTATCTAACTTTTACTCTCCAAGCATCTTAGTTTGCACATATTTAGATCAGAGAAGTCTTTTTCTCATGGTGTGCCCACAAACCCTTTCAATAATTCAATTGTTTGGGCCGCTGTAATTATAGAATCCTGCTTACGTCCGTGCTTATCAGTAGGTGGTGTAAAGGACTCTTAAGAGGTTCTGTGAATGTTTCCTACAAACCTTTTAATTAGAAGTTACTTAAGTTAATCACTTCCAGCTAGCCTTTATTTTGTAAGTCCCATTTTACATTTTGGGTCCTTTATTTTGAAATATTTTTTGGCAAAAAACGGAAGCCGATCCAAATCTCGCCAGAGTATGTTAGCTTGACTTCGCCACAAGAAGAGTATGAAATTCACGGTACAGACTAAAAGGAAAGGTAGTATAAAATATATTACTCCGCAATAAGAGTTTAATAACTAACGGTTAAGCACCTAGCTGGAACGGGAACAAGGTATTGTGTGTTCATTGTGTTTGATATGTTGGTGTTTCAACTGGATGCTAATGTTAGCTTAACGGATATAGCTAAATGACTAGGCTGTGGTTTTGAGCTGGCAATGGCATCTGGTTGAAACATTAATATATGCTCCCATGTATATTTAAATGTTATTTTCTGAATGTTTAAACTCGTAAGAGCTCATTTATGTTTTATCTGTTCCGTAGCTCTTACGGTGTTTTCTGGAGAAAGGAGAAAAGTAAATTTGTGTTCATCAAAGTAAAAGTCAACGGTTGAACATGAATAAAGGCCTCTGAACCATTGTCCGGCTGGGGTCCGCTACAGGTGGTGCTATGACTATGAGTTAATATTGGCATGCAGAAGTCCTAAAATCATGACTAATCAAGCATGTCAAGTTTGGGACAGTTTTGACAAAGTACAGTCGACTTAAAACAGCTTGATGGATGATGGTGAACCATGTAAAATGGCCGCCACACCATATCCACGTCGTTCGATGAAACCTAAAGCTTTTAGTAACTTTTATTCACTAAGGTCTTAAGATTGTCCTGAACAAATTCTAAGTTGATCTGATGCCTAGGAGGAGTTCGTTAAAGTAGAGCACCTGGATATTGCAAAAACACCACGAGAAATTCATACAAAATAAAAAATTGCTGACTTCCGGTTGGGTTTAGAGCATGGACCCCTAAGACTTTTTTTAAGTCTACATGTGATACATCTGCTTACCAAATTGTATACATCTAGGTGAAACGTACTGCGAGGGCTGCATCGTTGAAATATTGTAGGGGGCGCTATCGAGCCGACTTGCCACTCTGAAGCATTAAACTCGCATCAGATAACTACATTCAGGATTTTAAATGCATGTTATAAATGTGTGTGACAAGTTTGGTTATGTTTAGAGCAACTTTAGCCCCTCAAAAGCACCTTTGTTTTTCATGGCGAAGACTGCATCGCCGTTTGACGATACATCAAAAGCTTCATGAACTTCTTACACTTTTGATGTTGATGTTGACAATTTGATGTTGATCTGATTTACCTATTAACAGAAACAAGCCAAAGTATAGAGACTTTAACTTCCTGTTACCAGTAGGTGGCGCTATGACTATTCTACATAGTTGACCTGTAGATGTCTTCAAGAGTGGAGTCTCATCAAACATGTGAAATCTGGTAAAGATCTGATGATGTGGAGTCGAGTTACATCAGTTTATGGCGAAGGATCGAAATTTGCCGACCCGCGACGTCGTCGCCCTTCAGCAAATTCTTACAATCTTCACAATGAAGCATTATCAAAGTCTTAAGACTTTTCTGATAACATTTGAGAGGGATCCGATTAATCTGTGAGGAGCAGGATGTAAAAGTACACAACTTTCTAACTCCCTGTTGCCACTAGGTGGTGCTATTACTATGATTCTAAATTGTCATATAGATGTGTTCCGAGTCAGGATGTTATGACATATGAGAGATTTGGAGCAGATTAGACAATGTACGCCAGAGTTACAACAACTTCCTGTCTACGTCGGTGCTCGGGCCCTAATAATAACAGAAGCATTATATAGGATATAATTGTAAAAAAGCTGGTATATTAGCAGTTATAGTGATAAAAATGTGACCGATAATAATAGTAGCTGTGGATAGCAGGCTCAACCACGGTCCAGGTAAAACCACGGTCCATGGAAACCTTAGAGGCAAGAAAGCGCAAAGAATCCGGGGAGGAAGCCAAAGTTGTAACACTCATGAATGGGACATGATGTTCTGCTCCCACTTGAGGTCCTGGGCAATGATGGTGCTGAGGAAGCTAAAGGACTCCACAATGTCAACTGGGGGAACTAATGCTAATGGTCCGAGGGTTAGAGACATGTTCCCCAGCTTCACCTGCTGCTTCCTGTCAGTCTGTGATCCACCTGAAGGTAGAGTCAGACACGTGCAGCTGGGAGAGCTTGTCCTGCAGCAGGGACGGGGTGACGATGTAGAAGGCATAGCTGAAGTCCAAAAGGAGGGGGCCAGCTGCTGAATGCCGGTAGGTGTGAATTAGAGTAAAAAATGTTATGCCAAAATGCATCGAAGCTACTGCTGCTGCTCTGCTAATAGACTGTTTTCACTATGCAGCCTGCGGAGACAGTGTTACTCTTGTTTTTGTTTAAAAAAAAAAAAAAAAAGGAACAAGTTTGCAGCTGTGTGATTTGTTACACAGAACTGATGCTTCACCTAACCCAGCCAATAGGGTGCACAAGTCAGTGGGGGAGTGTTGCATCAGGAAGGACATTCAGCGTAAAATCCATACGAAATCAAGGTTAAGAAGAGGAAGAGAGTGAAGGCAGAGCCAAAGATGAAATGGTGGGAGTTGAAGAAGGAAGGCAAAGCGGTTAAGACAGGCATTGGGTAGGAGAAGAGTTGTCAGGTACTTGTTGTCTTCTGAACCGAGGAAGGACGACAAGTAGACAGGGTGGTGTAATGAGGAAGAACAGGAAAATACACAGTTAAAGAGGTTGGTGAAGAAAAATCAGAGAGATGAAGAAAGTAGATAGGAGTACCCTTGTACTCCTATCCTATCTCCTACTTTCTTCATTTCTACTTTCCCTTACTCCTTAGTAAGGGGAAAAGAGAAATGACGAAGGCTAAATTAGCATAGCGCGAGTTGTATGAAAGGTTGGACCCTAGGGATGGAAAAAATGACCTGTATTGGTTAGCTAGATAGAGGGAATGAGCCGAGTTTAGGATGATCAAGGATTGAGATGGAAATGTGCTGACAAGCGAGGAGAGTGTGGTGAGAAGGTGGAAACTTTTCCAACAAAGTGGAACTTTGAGGGGCCGATGAATGAAGGAAATAAGAGAGAGAGCAGGTTGACTATGTGGGAATTGCAGTGGCGGGCCGTGCATTTTATACTTGGGCCTTCAGTGCCGTCCTACTACAGTTGAACCACCTCCTCATAACCTCATTATGACGCCACAGCTACGGGTTATTATCTGTTTCTAGGGGTGTAACAATAAAATGGAAAATGCAGAAGCTTAAATTGTGGGAAATATAATGTTCTTTCGGTGGAGCCACTGCGCTCTGGCAACCCACCCAATGTAACAGACACACGTGTTGTCTGACACGCCCACCACGGAAGAAAAACATTGTACTCTGGTGAGCCACGTCTGTTCTGGGACACACACTATGCTAAATTAGCTTAGCAGGAAAACCAACAGCAGCACACAAGCTGAAAACTCTCCCCGCAGCGTTTAGCTGTTCCTACTGATTCAAACAGGGCAAAA